TTATTATCATTTTCTTAATTTGTCTTCAGCAGAAATAGTAAATGGTTGTAAGGCGAAACAAACAACAGCTATAAAGTATTGTAAAAGCGAGCAAATAAAGGCGACAATGTTAAAACATACACGCCATAATTACACTGCCCCGGCACATACCAGATTACTTTTCATATCACCTCCAAAGCGGAGTGACTTTTGCTCCGCGTCGCGTACAGGATTACTGTGGCGTAGTGTAAACAGCAGCCGAATCCGGTATGAAAATCGCTACGCTCCGATGCAATCCGGTATAGTGTAAACGGGGCCTAAGTTATTAGGTGACATGTAGGTAATTAAGGGGTTAGGCGAACAAAAATTTGCATAACTAAGTGTACCCCAATGGATAGATAGGGATTATTTATAACGTACTAGGTGTGTGCCTTAAAATCGGGCGCGTGGCTTTGCGGCCTGATCAGACAGTAATATATTTTATGGAAAATGGCATCATAGCAAAAATGTCCTAATTGAAAGACACTGCATGGTTGAATACAACTGCCCCTTTGATTTAACGCATTGATGAGAAAAACCTTGGTAAGAAATAAGTTGCCTTTACTGTACAAGAACTGCTTCAAATTATGTTGTATTATAATGAAACAATGCTGTTAGATTTATTGAGACGAGGTTACCAGTTATTAACCCATTAAGTTGGATTGTCTAGAAAGCACTGGCGCTTAATGGATAAATAATCAGTCAGTATAACTAATAGTAGAAATATAAATTTGATCTGTGATAGTACATGGTGTGACAAATGTCACTGACAGTGCATGCCTGCAAATAATTATTTTACTTGTAAGGACAAATGCTGGATAAGCCAAAAATAGGTACGCTAAGCGTACATGTATCTGCTCATGGTGATGCACTGTTGCCAAGGACTTCAATCAATACTCAGTAGCTTGTAAAAATATTAAGAGACTGATGTTTAAATGAATATATATTTTCTATAAACACCACAAATATATATTATGGACATTAAACACAGTTAAATGAGTTTAGATTTATATTATGTCAGATGAAAGAAAAAAATGGCTTATATATATTCAACTTGCAGAAACTAATTCCAGCCATAACTTCACAAAGATGATATTCAGTTTTATAGTGTTCTTGTTGAAACATGTCGGGTTCCAAATCTTCTTGACAGTTCGCAATAAACTTTAGATGCCATGCGAGAACATTGTAAATGCATAGATGTTGTCAGGATAACAGGTGTTTCCAATATACATTAGAATGCTGTTTTTAGGGTTTGTAATCCAAGTGAGTATATATACATTTTAAGACCTGACCAGGAACGACCGCGAAAAATGCAGCACAAAGTCCTCTGGTAGGAATTGAACCTACGGCCCTGCGATTCCGGTGCAGCACTCTAACCAACTGAGCTACAAAGGCTAGCTGTCGCCGTAAGTTCATGTATATATAGGTAATCGGGTGTGCGGGTTGTGCTAAGGTGGACTTCAGTGATGAGGTGGACTTCAATATGGTTTCCTGCACTTCACTTGGTGGAATTAATATTAGAATGCTGTTTTTAGGACTTACAGATACATGGCATCAACATTTCTGCTGTTTATAATTGATTTATTTCATTTTAGAAAATGACATAGTCAGGTTTAATGGAGCACAAATCAACTGTTTATGCCAAGTAAATAAATAAAAAAGATCATATATTGAAGATCATTCATCAATAACAAATGTTAACAAGTATGGAAATTAGAAGTATAATCGATGCATATAGTTCTTGAATAGAATGATATAATTCAGCATACCAGATCCATGCAATAATACTCTGTCGTGGAAGAAAATCCAATAAACAGAATAGTAGGTTTAGTTTTGTACATTGTGTGCTATAAGATCCCATTATGACATTTGGTTGTTGTTGATTGTAAGACAATATAGTACGGGATAGGGGAAGCGGGATATAACTTGCTTACCTGGTGTTCTTGGCAATGACATTCAGTTGCAGAAATCAGGGTGGATGAGGGAGGGAGCACCCCCTCCAGGATATAATTATAGTTATATACTGCAAGTTGATAATTATGACTGGTTGCAACTGTTACTATAGCAGGGCTGCAAATAAATATTTGACTTGACAGGACATTTGTCCGATCACTTTTAATTTTGGTCGGACATAACTTGAATTTGGTCGGACAAAAACCAACACCACTAAATTTGGCATATACAGTATACGTCACAAGATATATATAAGTCACGAGAAAAGTATGTACAGCCATTCCGATGCAACGTTAAGTTAAATGCTAGAATGCCTCATAAATATTATTGCAAAATGCAAATTGAGTGAATTTGCAATCGGATTTTGTGACAGCAAAAAAATGTATAATGTGACAATTTTTTTTTGTGATCGGACCAATGTCCGATCAAAATTACTTTTGCTCGGACATTTGCCAAATTTAGTCGGACATTGTCCGATGTCCGACAGTAATTTGCAGCCCTGCTATAAGTATTGATATTCCAATCTGAAGCTGAATCTCTGCTCTTTATGCAGCCACTATTAATTTGGCTTTGCTTTAATGAAAGCAATTAATCAATGCACATACTGCTTTAAGAGAAATGTTTCCAATATGTGTGACTTAGCTTCTTACTCTGCTAAATTTATATAAAAATGATCTATCAAAGTCTGGTTGTCTGTAATGAAAGTAGACACCAATTGTCTATAGTTATGATCGTTGACAAAGAAATTGTATAAAGATTAAAGGCCTTCTATTGGTTTCATTCAACTAATTTATATCAATTAAAGTCACCAATATTCCAATAATTAATAAAAATGTTAAATTGAAAAGTTCATCAACATCAACACTTACACTCGATATACACCTATTTATGTCAATGGTAACATGTGGAAGAATCATTACTTTCATAGTTTCATAATAGTATCTCAATGCCATTAGTCAATAATTTGTTTGTCTATAAAAATTGCGAATCATTTCGTTTGCACTGCGTAGTAAATGATGAAACCCTTCAAATGATTGCCAAAAATACACTTTCGACCTTTGCCATATTCAGACTAGCCTGCCTAGCAGGCGTTTAGTGCGGGCGGGAGAAGAGAGGGCGTCGTTAAATAAACGCCTGCCCAAATGCCTATAACTAATTTGTTCTTCTCCGAAGAATCTTCGGAAAAGCTTCCCATTGGTACCCTGGCCCAGACGTTTTTTTAGGTTTGGCGAACGCGAAATGCGAGAAAACGCGCGAAGAAAAAGGAAAAACCTCTGGTGAATTTGTTAGCGATTCCTGGTTCGGATAAAGAATGCAAAAAATGTATAATGGCTTAATGCATCATATTCTAAAAATATTATCCAATCATTATCCTTGACGCCAGGCCGTCTAGACAGGGTTTTATTGCATGTATACTGTCCAGTGTATGCCTGCTCATTTGTAGCAATATTCATTCTCCTGAATTTCATTCAATTTAAAACATCACATCTATTCAATTTAATATAAATATATATTTATATTCATTCACTTTAATCTTGCAATATACATTCAATTTAATCCTGCAATATACATTCAAAAAAATCTGTATTTAAATTTATTAAACACGCCTCTTTGGGCCGACGTGAACTTTGTCTGTTAATACAAAAGCAAGCAAATTTGTACACAGGCGGCCCAATCTCTGAACGTCCTATATATTTTGAATATTTAACCGTTATAATATTTTAAAATAACAAAATAATTAAAAAAATATTAACAATATATGTAAAAAATATATCTCACTTGTTAATAGAATCCATTTGTTGTGTTTCTGAGTCTAGTTGATGCGATTGCTTTACGTTTTCGTCGTACTTGAACGGTCGTCAGTACTATGGCACTGGGCGACATGGCCGTATAGGACATAAATAACTACAAGGCTAGCCACTTATCTGATACACCCTCCGACATCGAGTCCAATATCTCGCCTCAGAATCGTCGCAGAGCAATAAATTTCACATCGTCTAATAGCACGAACGTTCCTCTTTCGAAAGAACTCGGTTTCTTCACCATTGCGGCAATTCCCGCGACACACGACGAACTTTGTTTGTCAAAAGTACAAATTTCCATTTTCGACAGAACCGCTAACCCCATGATCGTTGCCACGAGAGCGGCACAGCAACCTGGCCTCCTCGTTTGAAAACATTCCATCAGGGGGGAGGAGCTGGACTGGAATGAGGGGGCTTTCAAAGCAACACGATAAAACACACGATATAAATGGTAAGACATACGGTTGAACGCAGCCAAGTTTAATACTTTATCATGCTGTATTCGACAATAAACAAGTATTAAACATTTATATCGTGTGTTTTATCGTGTTGCTTTGAAAGCCCCCTCATTCCAGTCCAGCTCCTCCCCCCTGATGGAATGTTTTCAAACGAGGAGGCCAGGTTGCTGTGCCGCTCTCGTGGCAACGATCATGGGGTTAGCGGTTCTGTCGAAAATGGAAATTTGTACTTTTGACAAACAAAGTTCGTCGTGTGTCGCGGGAATTGCCGCAATGGTGAAGAAACCGAGTTCTTTCGAAAGAGGAACGTTCGTGCTATTAGACGATGTGAAATTTATTGCTCTGCGACGATTCTGAGGCGAGATATTGGACTCGATGTCGGAGGGTGTATCAGATAAGTGGCTAGCCTTGTAGTTATTTATGTCCTATACGGCCATGTCGCCCAGTGCCATAGTACTGACGACCGTTCAAGTACGACGAAAACGTAAACCAATCGCATCAACTAGACTCAGAAACACAACAAATGGATTCTATTAACAAGTGAGATATATTTTTTACATATATTGTTAATATTTTTTGAATTATTTTGTTATTTTAAAATATTATAACGGTTAAATATTCAAAATATATAGGACGTTCAGAGATTGGGCCGCCTGTGATTTGTCTTGTAGATTTCAAATGAAACCATTCCTCTCCATTTCGCATTTCGAATAATAGACTCGGGATTACAAAATGCGAATGTAAACTCTCCATCTAGTATTGCTTTCTCGTCCTCTTCGTTTGACAGTGAAGTAACACGGCATCCATGCACGCTTTCTTAGTTCACGGACGTGAGAGTCAATGAAAGAGTTCAATTTGCAAACGACTATTAAGATGGGTTTCTCCAGAAAATTGTGGCTTTTGCCAAGTCGTCGTGCTACTCTCGGTGTTAGAACTTTGGAATATTAAACTCTTCCCGTAACCGATAGCAAGATGCAAATAGATCTTTAATGTGAATCAAACTGGACAAGGCGCGGTATTGATGCTCCGTTAAACTTTTAATTCAGGAAATTTATCAATCTATCTATTAATGCTGCCTATAAAACTGCTTCTTTCAACTTTTGTTCGTTAAATTAATAATATAGACATTTCAAAATTCAAATGTTTCAATTCAATCAAAACACGAAACGCCTGCGAACAGGCTATGATGTTTACAATATCCAATCAGAACACGTAGTCTATCGAACCTATAGTCAGCAGCCAATCAACTCTTTCCTTCCATTTTTGAAAGTTATGTGTGGAATGTGAACACAAAACTACGCCAATTTCACCAGAGGGTTATTCAAAACAGGCGAAAATAAATACCCTCTGGCTCCAGGGTACCCATTGGTCAATCTCGTTAACGAAAGTAATTACGTAACTCAAATGTCAACATGCAATAATTTTGCTCACGTATCGAAAATATGCCGCCTGTTAGTGCTTTCGAGGGAACTCTTATATTTCAAGTATTTAGGCTTCGAAATTGACCACTTGCGCAATAGACTAAATTTTGATCTCAACAAGTCAAGACAAAAATTTCATCACAGCTTCAAAGAGCATCACAAAATTAGTAATATTCCAAATTTTCGTTGCGAAATGTTGTAAAATGCGGATAATATAGCCTTGCGAAGTTTGCAATTTTCAGTCATTTTAGATTACAAACGGGAAATTGACAGCCCAATACCCTTGGTCAGACAATGGACAAAGTAAAACATTTCATTTTTTTTAAATTACCACGATGTTTTTTGCCTGGTCATGCATGTTAGAGCGGACTGAATGCATCTAAGACTGCGCAATATCTAGCACTCCTAACGCATCAGTAAATTATGGTTCAGGTTTTACATACATAACTTTATAATTTCTACCATGTTATATAGCTAACTATACGAAGGTGATGTAGATTTAATTAAATCTTACGGCTTAATGCAGCAAGAAATAGTGGAGAAGAGCTGTCTGTATTGCTTTCTTGTTGGTTTTCTTAATAAAAAATGTGTTTTTAGGATTGGAGAATGGAGATTTGACCTAAGGTCAACAGCCTAAGGTCGGTCACATCTCCGGTCATAAAAGCTTTGATTGGACAAAAGGTAAAATTTGGCCAGACAATGTCCGATGACCAGCACTGTAATTAGCAGGCCTGTAGTGTCACACTATTGGCTATGGCCATGATGTGGCATAATTGTTGCCACGGTTACTCATTTATCCAGGTAGCCACCTACAGCTGGGTTATGTTTTTGTTAGCGAAAGTCGAAATTACAAGTTTGGTAAATTTTACAATGTTTATAACTATTACGTAAAGCAGTCAGGAATAGTTGTGTTTTGACTGTGTGAAGAGCTTCAAATTTCGTATTCGCAGATAGCTGACGAATTTGACACCATCCTAAATAAAAAATACAACTAAAGCAGCCACAGATTTATATTTTTTCCCTGAAAATGACTGTTTTTGTTCGATAAAAAGAGACGAGATGAAGCGAACTAAAAATGTACTTGTCCATATACTGTTTATTAATTTTATTGTTTTCATATTTGTTGTCTTTGTCTTTGATTAAATGACGAATACCTCGTATTTTTCTTGAAGTACTATCGAAACTGTGTTAGTATTCTATATAAAAAGTGCTGTAGAGTAGTTTTACTAACCAACTTTTGTGGCTAGCCCGTTCGCGGGCTAGACACATTCATATACCTAGATTGCAATGTTTGTCGGATGAGCACAAAGTGTAACTCCAGTTGTTCATATAGATCTTAGGCGCGTGTTTGTAAACAATCTATTAGCAAAATATCACTGCGAAGAACTGTTCTTTTAATGCGTTAAAACGTCGCTTTTGAGCCAGAAACTTTTCGGATCTTAAAATTTAAAGGTAAGTTACCGTAAGTAAGCTTTTTTCTTGTAAAATAGCATCCTCAAATGCTGTCTGTGTGCTTCAATTAACCCACTATGCCGCATTGGTTTAGGCATTTGTCAAGGGGAGAGCTACCCTGGAACCAGAGGGTATTTATTTTCGCCTGTTTTGAATAACCCTCTGGTGAAATTGGCGTAGTTTTTGGGTTCACATTCCACACATAACTTTCAAAAATGGAAGCAAAGAGTTGATTGGCTGCTGACTATAGGTTCGATAGACTACGTGTTCTGATTGGATATTGTAAACATCATAGCCTGTTCACAGGCGTTTCGTGTTTTGATTGAATTGAAACATTTGAATTTTGAAATGTCTATATTATTAAATAAACGAACAAAAGTTGAAAGAAGCAGTTTTATAGGCTGCATTAATAGATAGATTGATAAATTTCCTGAATTAAAAGATTAACGGAGCATCAATACCGCGCCTTGTCCAATTTGATTCACATTAAAGATGTATTTGCATCTTGCTATCGGTTATGGGAAGAGTTTAATATTCCAAAGTTCTAACACCGAGAGTAGCACGACGACTTGGCAAAAGCCACAATTTTCGGGAGAAACCCGTCTTAATAGTCATTTACAAATTGAACTCTTTCATTGACTCTCACGTCCGTGAACTAAGAAAGCGTGGATGCCGTGTTACTTCACTGTCAAACGAAGAGGACGAGAAAGCAATACTAGATGGAGAGTTTACATTCGCATTTTGTAATCCCGAGTCTATTATTCGAAATGCGAAATGGAGAGGAATGGTTTCATTTGAAATCTACAAGACAAATTTGCTTGCTTTTGTATTAACAGACAAAGTTCACGTCGGCCCAAAGAGGTGTGTTTAATAAATTTATAAAATACACATTTTCTTGGATGTATATTGCAGAATTAAATTGAATGTATATTGCAAGATTAAAGTGAATGAATATAAATATATATTTATATTAAATTGAATAGATGTGATGTTTTAAATTGAATGAAATTCAGGAGAATGAATATTGCTACAAATGGGCAGGCATACACTGGACAGTAAACATGCGATAAAACCCTGTCTAGACGGCCTGGCGTCAAGGATAATGATTGGATAATATTTTTAGAATGTGATGCATTAAGCTATTATACATTTTTTGCATTCTTTATCCGAACCAGGAATCGCTAACAAATTCACCAGAGGTTTTTCCTTTTTCTTCGCGCGTTTTCTCGCATTTCGCGTTCGCCAAACCTAAAAAAACCTCTGGGCCAGGGTAGGGGAGAGCTTGCAAATATGTCTCAAACTCATACTTCACAAATACGCACCCAAATTCACTCTACTTTAGTACTTTGTTGTTTAATCTGTGTTACACTATGCCGCATTGGTTCAGTGTACAATGTTTCTTTTACTTTTGTCGTCGCTTTTGTCTTTGTGTATATATTAATTAACTTTTGTCGTGGTTTACTGGTTTTTGTCTTTATAAATATAATTGTGTATAAAATTATGCCAGATTGACAAGGTGAGAGCTTTCAAATATGAATATATCTACAATGCACCCAAATTGACACTACATTGTTGTCTTAATCTAGTATGTATAAACGCCAGACGATTAACCAAACAATCTGCTAATACTTCTTGTCATCCCACTAACTTGCAATATATGCAAAAAATTATGCCCCAGATAATTTTACTCGATAACACTAGACAATTTTACTTGTAGAGCCAGTTGTTCAAGTCAGGATTAGTGCTAACCCTGGGTTAAACGTCAATTACCCAAGTGCTATTTTGGTTTGTGTATTTCTGTACGCCTGTGTCTAATGCCAGACGATTTTACTTTCCAAAGGAAAAGTGTCGATGTTAATGGGTTAGGTATGCATGGTAATCAAGATTCAGCTGAAGGGTTTTTTATAGTTGGTTGTTGCAATATATGCCGAAATGCACCCTACTTTTTTCTTTTATTTTGTCTAATGCCAGAAGATTTTACTCAATAACACTTACCTGGACAATTTTACTTCTGCAGCCAGGTGTTCAAAGCAGGATTAGCACTAACATTTGGTTAAAATTCATTTACCAACTATTTTGGCAGTGGCAAACACTAGGGAGGCGAAAGGCACACCCCCTCCCCCCCAATATTTTCTGTAAGCCTTTGAATAATAGCTGATTAACTGTGTAACAAAACTGTATCAATGATTATACTATCATAAAATCCTTGATAGGCTATAGTAAGTGCATGATATTTAAGCCAAAAGGGTTCAAAGAATTAAGATTTGTGGCAACAAATGGGTGGTTATATTTTGGTAACCAAAGCCTCCAAAGTACTTATACATGTATTTTCTCTGTAATTTTTAGAATTTGCAAACTGTTCTATTGCCAAGAGTTGCCGACACTTCGGAACCAACGTGTTTACACTGACCAATTTCTAAAAATATGTTATTTTATGTTATTTAAAGAGTATTTTATATGACTTTCAACTTACAAATGTGTTGATGATGTCTTGATTTGAAAATTAATTAGTTTGCATACACATACTTGTAAACACATAGTCGACTTAGTCGTGAATTAACACAGACGATGGTCTGTGAATTAACACATACTTGCCATGGGCAAGTGATCATGTGCGCGCACCTGCACACATGCTTCGAATTATTGCAGTGCGCAATTTACCATGCGCCTCGTTCTGTATTAATTAATTACATGTCTGCATTTGTAATATTGGGAATGGAACTTGCAATTTCCCAAGTTGCTTATCTATAAATTACTGAAGTGCTATTTAAAGCACAATGTCAAATTGCTGTTTTTCAAAACCTTGGTTCTTTTCTCGTAACTATTTAATTGTGCCCATATTTTTAGGTAATTTAAATCATGCAAGGAAGGAGTTCGCCCGTTTTGCAATCACACGCCTTTGACGCCTGGCATCAATATTACGTGCCTGTAAAATGCATTTGGCCAGGCCTATAACTAACTGATTTGGCACATTTAAAGCCCCGTTTACACGAGCAAACTTTATTTGACAAATTTCATATGTCAAAGATATTTTGCTCGTGTGGATGATGCATTTGTGACAAATTTATTGTGACAAATGCATTTGAACAAAAGCTAGCATGCTAGCTTT